AGCCTGCACCCTCTTTCAAATCTGTTTAGTTGTTACCATTAATTATTTACTCTTATATTTGGGCTGGGCTCTAGGGCTAGACATTAGATGTGTCTGGTCCCTGTCTGTCTTCAGGGAGCTCACAGCCTACTCACTCACTTGCTCTCACAAGGGGCCAGTTTTTGAGCTGCTGTTTCTTAGGCAAGTGTTGTAGTATCTGATTCTGTGTTCTCTCCAGCTCCGGGAGTGTGAACTGAGTCCCGGTGTGAACAGAGACCTGACTCGTCGTGTGCGCAACATCAATGGTATTACCCAACACAAGCAGATTGTGCGCAATGACATCAAGCTGGCAGCCAAGCTGATCCATACTCTGGATGACAGGACCCAGCTCTGGGCCTCTGAGCCGGGGACCCCTCCCCTGCCAACAGTCAGTGACTCCCCATGGGACTTTTTCAAAAGCAGCTGATACCACCTCATCGGCTAGGGGCACCTCTGACCTCACTTGATCTGTAGCACTGAACCCTTGTATCCTCCTGCCTGCTCATTTGTTTACCCCTCCTTGTCTGGGTATTACTTCTTCCAGCTTCCAGCAGAACAAATGTTAGTAATTCTTTTGTGGGCTCGGGTAAAATGTAAAATGAGGACAGATGCTAGGGGGTGAAAGGTAACCCTGAACTCCTTTGACCCTCACATTGCCTTTCCAAATGTACTAGTTCCTATGTTACCTAACCTAGGTTTTCCTCTTCCTTGTCAGAGCCTGCCCTCACAGAACCCAATCTTGAAGAATATTACCGACTACCTGATTGAGGAAGTGAGTGCTGAAGAGGAGGAGCTGCTGGGGAGCAGTGGGGGAGCCCCCCCAGAGGAGCCTCCGAAGGAGGGGAACCCAGCTGAGATCAATGTAGAGCGGGATGAGAAGCTGATCAAGGTGCCAGCAGCACAGGGGTGCAGCTCAGGGTGGCTAAGGGGCAAGAGTAGGAAACCAAGAGTGTCTGGACCAGGCATCTATAATCCTAGCATTCTGGGAGGGCAAGACAGGTGGGTTGCCTGTGCTCACGGGTTCAGGACCAGCCTGAACAAGAACAAGACCCTCTCTCTAAAAATAGTTGGGTGTTGTAGTAGAGCCTATAGTCCCAGCTACTTGGGAAACTGAGGCAAGAAAATCACTAGAGCCCAAGAGTTTGAGGTTCCAGTGAGCTATGATGCTAGGGCACTCTACCAAGGGTAACAAACCAAAACTGTCTCAAAAAAAGAAATAGCTAGGCAAGGTGGCTCACACCTGTCATCCTAGCACTTGAGAGGCTGAGGTAGGTAGATTGCTTGAGCTCATGAGTTCGAAATGAGCCTGAGCAAGAAAGTGAGACCCCATCTCTACCAAAAAGAGCAAAACTGAGGCAAGAGATCTCTTGAGCCTGAGAGTTGGAGGTTGCTATGAGCTATGATGCCAAGGCACTCTATCCAGGGCAACAACTTGAGACTTCCTCTTAAAAAAAAAAGAAAAAGAAACTAAGAGCTTCTCATCTTCCTTAGGTTTTGGACAAACTCCTTCTCTACTTGCGAATTGTGCATTCCTTAGATTATTATAACACCTGCGAGTACCCCAATGAGGATGAAATGCCCAATCGTTGTGGCATAATCCATGTTCGGGGGCCCATGCCACCCAACCGCATTAGTCATGGAGAAGGTGAGTTCCTGGTCTCTATTCCATTCTGGTTCTCTTTTCCCTGGCTCCCTCTGGTGGCAGTGCTTTGCCACAACTCCTTTGGTCCCCTCCCCACTCCTATCCTTGCTTCTGGCTCCCTTCTCCAACCTTCCTTTGTTTCCAAACCACAGTGTTGGAGTGGCAGAAGACTTTTGAGGAGAAGCTGACTCCACTGTTAAGTGTTCGAGAGTCTCTCTCAGAGGAAGAGGCCCAGAAGATGGGTCGAAAAGACCCAGAACAGGAAGTGGAAAAGTTTGTCACCTCCAATACCCAAGAACTGGGCAAGGATAAGTGGCTTTGTCCTCTCAGTGGCAAGAAATTCAAGGTCTGGGATGTTGGAGAATCAGTGGGCTAGTATGGTAGGAGGTGGGGTTGAGGCAGGAAGCCCCTTAAAGGTCCTGGGGGGAGGTGGGTGGGGAAGAAACCACTCACCTGATGGCAGAAGGGTGGGCTGGTGATCCCTCCTCAGGTTGGGCTTGGGATGAGAGAACCCACATTACTCGCCCTATCCTGATTATCTCTTCTCTTCACCCAGGGTCCTGAGTTTGTACGCAAACATATCTTCAATAAGCATGCGGAGAAAATTGAGGAAGTAAAGAAGGAGGTGGCATTTTTTAATAACTTCCTCACTGATGCCAAACGGCCTGCTCTGCCTGAGATCAAGCCAGCACAGCCACCTGGCCCGGCCCAGAGTAAGATACGATCCACGAGGGTCTGCATGTTTCTTCTCCCAGGGACTCCTATTCCTCCTTAACTTGTCATCCTTTGAAGAGTTTCTGGGCTCGGCACCTGTGGCTCAAGTGGCTAAGGTGCCAGCCACATACACTTAAGGTGGCGGGTTCGAATCCAGCCTGGGCCGCCAAACAACAATGGTGGCTGCAACCAAAAAAAAAAAAAAATAGCCAGGTGTTGTGGCGGGCGCCTTGGGAGGTGAAGGCAGGAGACTCGCTTGAGCCCAGGAGTTGGAGGTTGCTGTGAGCTGTGATGTCACAGCACTCTACCCAGGGGGACAGCTTGAGGCTCTGTCTCAAAAAAAAAAAAAAAAAAGTTTCTGTCCCACCCTCAGGCTACAGTCCAAGGAGTTGGTTGTTACCCCCTCCCCTCCCCCGCAGTAATTCACGTCCCTGTCCCTGTTGTACTCCCCCCAGGCCTGACCCCAGGACTCCCCTACCCACACCAGACTCCCCAGGGTCTGATGCCCTATGGTCAGCCCAGGCCCCCCATCTTGGGGTATGGAGGTAAGTATAAGAGGGAAATGAAATGCCTTGGTGGTTGTGGGGCTGAGAGGAAGAAAACAGCTAGGATGTAGTCGAAGTTACAGGTTTTCATCTCAACTTGGATCTTTTTCATAGCTGGTGCTGTCCGACCTGCAGTCCCCACAGGAGGGCCTCCGTACCCCCATGGCCCATATGGTGCTGGCCGAGGGAACTATGATGCCTTTCGAGGCCAGGGGGGTTATCCGGGGAAACCTCGAAACAGGTAAGAATGAGATAAGATACCCAAGTGTTCCTGCCTTCTTCAAACTGCCTTTCAGGAACCCTCAGCTTTCATCCTGGTTTACTTTTCTCACAGGATGGTTCGTGGAGACCCAAGGGCCATTGTAGAGTATCGCGATCTTGATGCCCCTGATGATGTTGATTTCTTTTGAGCTATCTACTTCCCTTACTCTTGGTACCACCTATACTTGTGACTGCCATGTCCCATCCAGCTAAGAATTTTTTGTACAGTCCTACTGCCAATAAAAGCACTTCATGGTGACTCTTGACTCAATGTTACATACCTCTCCCAAGTCCTCCCAAACATCAGCTTGTTCTATGTTAGCTGGGCCTTCCCACTTTATTATTGATGCCAAAGGCCCCAGGCTCTGCTGAGATGCCTTTGAGGTAAGCAGGTGCACATGTATGGGACCAGAGAGCAATTTTCAGTTATGGGACCTTATCCTCCACTCAGTCCAGAGCATGCTGCTGCTTTTCGGAGTTACAGCTGGTCAAGCACAGGTTGTAGAAGGAGTTGGGGTCAAAGGCTGTGCTTACCTCCCGCCAGCCCACCCACCCAGCAGTCTGGAGTTCACTGGGACTTTTTGGAGTGCCCCAGTAATGAGGGTCCAATACCAGGACATAGGCTTCCATGCCTGGCCCTATGCAGACTCCCAGCAAAGCCTTCGATTGGGCGTCTGCATCCCCTCCCACCATCACAGGGCCCCCACCCTCTGAGAAGTGAGAGTAGAACCTCTCCAGTTCACCCCAAAGTCCCAACCCACGGGGCACGTGGCACAGGCGCCCTTGGGGCCCTCCAAAGTGAGCGAGGCAGAGACTGGCCTCTACACAACCAATCCAGTTGCGGGAACCCCGGAAGCCGGGGGGTTTGTCACCCATGTCCTCCAGGGCCGCCTGCACTGAGACCAATCCAGGCACGCCCGTGGGCTGGCCCTCTGGCCATGAGCACAGTGTCTGCAAAGTGCGGTAGCCGCAGCCCCAGCCCCGGTCGTCCAGCCCGTCGCAACCGTAGTGATAGTAGAGATAGTGGCCCGAAAGGACCGCCAGGCGAGCAGGGCCGCGACACGGCGGGGCCAGACCCAGGTGGACATCCTTTAGCAGCTCCAGGGTGATCGGCGAGTGGCAGGATCCGCGGTTCCCGAAACCGGGCAGATGAGCCCTCAGGACAGCGCCGAGCAAATTCCAGGAAGAACTCCGGACTTCCAACACTTCCTCTCGGCTCCAGGTCTTAGGCTAGCGGTCAGCAGGACCCACGCGCTGGGTAAAGATGTGCTCGTCGGGTTCTGGAGACCAACCCACGGAGCAAGCAGTGGCCACCACCAGACCGGATCGCCGGGGAACCACAATGCACCGGTGCGCCGCGCCCGCCTGCCTCATTGCGCAGGCGCGAGTTCCGCCAGATGGGGCTAGGGTGAGACTCGCCTCCGCGGCGGCTTTGCGGCGCAGGCGCCTTGCATCCCTTCTCAGAGACCCACAAGTCCAGCGTCCTGTGTCCCCAAGCGCGCGTTAGCTCAGTACCCGTGATTCAGGCGTTCTGCCGCTACCCCGGCTCCCCAGCCGCGCACACTCTTGTGGCTGTAACAGTTTATTGGCAGCCCAGAGGGGCGAAGGCACCGCGAGGGGGAGCTCAGCCCAAGACATGCAGGGGACCAGGAGCCCCGAGGGGAAGTCGGGGGTAGGATAGGCAGGGTCTGGGGTTCGTCTGTGTTATATCCCAGCCCCTAAATAAATACTATATACAGCTTGGGGGTCCCGGCGGGGCGGAGGGACGTGGGAACCCGCCTGGGTCACAGGTCTGAGCAGCGATCCTGCTTGCTGTAATGGTCGAACTGGTTCTTCCAGTGCACCATGTAGGAGCTCCAGCGGTGGAACTCGGCCTTCCACTGGCGCTCTGCCTCGTCCAGCGTGTCTGCAGCCAGGGCACCCGGCAAGTGGAGGGCGGGGAGGATGACACGAAAAGGTCGGGGAACGGACATGGGAGGGGGCACAGTGTGGGGAGGACACGGAGGAATATAAGAGACCACGTGGGATGGTGGAAAGAGGATCAGGAGAATGTGCGAAAGGAAGGCGAGAGGGAGGGCGAGGGTTAGGCGGGGTCACAGGATGGCAGGAAGGGAGAGGTGAAAATGACCGGAAGACCGGGAGACAGAAGGAATCAATAGGGGAGGGTCCGTGGGTTGGTGGGGAAAAGAGAAGACAAATGGTTGACGGTTATAGCCCTAAGTGGGGGGGAGGGGGGCTGCTATTGAAGCCCGGGCCTCCCTTCCCCCAACATCAGGCTCAGGCTCCAAAGGATAATTTTATAAAAGAATATTGGATTTCCATTTAAACAATAAAGGCGTGTGGGTCCCTGAGACGGGTGGTAAGTCACCCTCCCACCCCGCCCTGTCCAATTTGAGTCTCTCAGTTTGAGGAGGGAGGGGACGCTGGGTCCGAGGTCCCTGAGTGGGGCCTTTCTCCACCGTCCGACCGCTCATTAGAGGAGGGGCCCCTGGGACCAGAAGGGGAAAAGTCCCTGATCACAGCCGCTGGAGCTGAGAGAGAAGGAGGAGGAGGAGAGGGGAGAAGGGGAGGCTGGTCCTGGGCCTTGGGGCAGCCTCCCCATAGGCGGGGCTTGAACAGGTGCTGGGGGCCTCCGAGGCTGGGGGAAAAAGAGGGGGGTTACACCCGGCCGGCTCCCACTGCGCTCTCTGTGCCCTTTTCTCCCGCTTCCTGCCCTTGTTCGCTGGCCCCTTCGTACCGGTGGCGCTGAGCAATTTGGGTAGGAAGCGGTTCCAGAAGGCGCAGGCCTGGGCGCGCAGCCCCCGCCGCACCTCCAGCGGCCGAAGGTCTAGGCTCACGTACTGCTGCGCTCCAGCCGTGTACGGGGGCCACTGCAGGGCTTTGGGGTCGTGGGGGTCATTGGGATCCCTGCAGAATGAAACGGGAGACTCAGCCTGAAGCAGATCTGTCCCGCCTGGGGAAGGGGAACGAAGACGGGCGCCCTCTGCTGCTCTGCGGGACCTGCCCTCCCATCACCGCTGCCCCAACCCTTCTTTCTCCTCTCCCCTTCCCTCAGTTTCTCTGTGACATTTTCCTCTTTATTTCTCACATTAGAGAAGCTTCTAGGATTTGTCGGATCCTTCCTGTGTAACCAGGCATGGCCTTATCTCTACAAACATTACAACGTAGTTCTACAACACCCATCTGATGCTGGATCTATTATCCCCTTCTTCACCAGATAGATGAGTATGTGAGAGAGACAATGTGTCACAACTAAAGAATCACCACAGGTTTGACTTAATCCAGCTCTGCAGTTCCTGCTTCTATTACTGCCAAGTCCTTTGTCTTGGTCTCTCTTTGCCCACTTCTCCTGGCCTTCCTCTGCCCCGGTGCCTGTCTCTCCAGATCTGCCATCCTTCCTTCCTTTCTCCCCATGTCTTGTGTCTCTCTCTTCCCTTTGCCTCCTTTTCGAACCTCCCCCTCTCCAGCTTTCCTTTCCTGCCTCTTTCTTTCCAGCCCTGTCCTCTCTGTGTCTGTGTGTCTGTCTAGGGGCCACCCTGCCTCCCAGCCCTGTAGCCTCCTGTCCCTCAGGACTGCTGACCCTGTGCGGGCGAAGTTGGCCCAGTATCTCATCAGTCGCTGGGCAAAGATTTTCTCTTCCATGGTGTAGTTTAGCGAGGGGTCCAGGGGGAGCCCAAAGATGAACTCAATCTCATAGCCGTGGGGCACCCCCATCCACAGGGGCCAGGAAAGTGTGGAGGCACGATGTTCAAAGACGTAGGTGTAGACCCGGGCACCCTGGGCAGCCAGTCGCCCAGCCAGGTGGGCCACAGGGCACACGACGTTGTGGTCACCCACCACATCACTCAGGGCCTCCCTCAAGCGTGCTGGGTCCTCAGGATGCAGCCAGTCTGTGTAATGCAGGACCACAGCCTCGGCCGCCAGGTCACTTACCTGGGGGACCCCGACCCTCACCCCAGCCAGGAACTGGGCCCGGCTGATGAGAGACTCGTTGTCTTTGCTGAAGCCTGGGGCCCCGTAAACCAGAAAATAGGAGCCCTCATCCTTCACCACTCCCACCAGCACCTGGGGGTGGAGGGTGGGAATGGAGGGACAGGCACACACAGACAGGCAGACAGAAACAGAGGGACAGAAAAAGAGCCAGAGAGATGAACAGTTACAGACCCAGCACCATGGAGGAAAAGAATAAAAGATTGGGGAAGGGACAGATTAAAAGGAAATATACCCACAGTTCCTTTCCTCTGCCCCCTTGACCACCTTTGGATCTGTACTCTCAGGGAAGAGGGGGTGGCCATGGGGCCCAGAAGCCTGTACCTCCGGGAGTGGGTCTGGAGGAGCCCTCATGCCTGGGTGCCTAGGGGGAGGGGAGGGGAGGGACTGCTGGGACCCAGAGAAACCAGCTCCACTCCCACCAGTCACTAGTCACCTGCAGGCCATGGAAGTCTCCTGCATTGATGAGGGCCTCAGGTGTGTCACTGAGGAAATCTCCATCTACCACAGGAACGAAGGAAAATCGGAAGATACTTTCCTGAGGCAGTACGCGCCACTCATGGTCCACCAGGTCCTGAGCTGGTCGTGTCCGAAGGCAGGCTACCAGCTCTGTGTCATTGCCACCAGCGCTGCCTGGGGGACAGCCCACATAGCGGGCCAGCAGTGTGGCCCTGCGACGGGCCTCTCCCATGCCCACTGTGGCCCAGGGCCCATTGGGTGCACCACTTTGTAGCACAGCCCTGTGGAATAGGCCCCGGCTTGGTGGAGATAGCAGGTGCATGCCAACCGACGCAGCGCCTGCACTCTCCCCAAACAGAGTCACTGATGTTGGGTCCCCCCCGAATGCTGGTATATTCTCTTGCACCCACTGCAATGCCAGCCTCTGATCCAGTAAACCAACGTTGCCTGGAGCCTCTCGGCTCCCTGGCAGGGCCAAGAAACCAAAGGCTCCAACCCGATAGTTCATAGACACCAGCACCGTCCCCTCAGCTTGTACCAGGAAGCGACCATCATACACATCCAGGGAGGAGGCCCCACTGTAGAAGCCACCCCCATAGATCCAGATGAGAACAGGGGTGGGGGACAAAGGCCGGGGGTATGGTGTCCACACGTTGAGGTAGAGGCAGTCCTCACTCAGCTCACGGTTGGGGTTCCACATCTCGGTGCCCTCAAAACCAGGGTACAGCTTGTCCACATATTGGTAGCAGACACTCGGGAAGGTTGTAGCATCCAACACTCCTGGCCAGGACCGCTTGGGCTCTGGTGGCAGAAAGCGACGGGGCCCCACAGGTGGCTCCGCGAAGGGAATGCCCAGAAAAGCAGAGACAGGCCCCCCAGGGGCCTTTAGGCGAATGCCCCGCAGTTGGCCCCCACGAACTGTCACCAGTAACTCTGGATCCTCCCGACCCTCAGCCCCTGCCTCTCCTCTCAGGAGGAAGAGAAAGAGGAGTAGGGATGCCAAGGTGGATGTGGGCCTCATGACTGCAGGCAGGCAGCGTCTGCTGGGAGAAAGAAAGGCAAAGGGTGAAGGCCTGAGCAGCCAGGAGATTAGCAACATTTTTGCCCAAAGGTTATCACTGAACTGCAGAGGAGGTGGGGCAGGTTGGCAAAGAGGAGAAGAGGGAGGAGGTAGATAGGCAGAGACAAGGACATAGGCCAGCAGGCAACAGGGGACAGAGATCAGGCAGACGCACACCCAAACAAATGCAGGAAACAGAGATGAGTCCTGCCAAAGAATATCCTTCCCTGCCTGCAGGGGGCCCACCACCCTCACTTCCTTTCTCTAGCTGGGGGGACCGTGCCCCGAGTGTGCAGTGCAGGCACCAGAGGCTGAGCAATTCATTGCATATGCCACCTGGCAGGGGCGCGGCTCTCACTGACAGGCGGCGCCTTTGGGGAAACTTGAGGGATGTGAAGGCACTGCCCAAGTCTCTCCCTGGGTTGTTCTGGGCCGGGGCTCTAAGGGGTGCGTCTGGCGTTCAGGGCACTGGAGCCCCAGGTCCTGGGGCACCCCAAATCCTGCCTATCCCACCCCCCGCCCCACCCTGCTAAGCCTCATCCACTGTCTGGCACTGCCGCTGATACTTGCTAGTTCCTATCAGCTATGCACTCCCCTAGCCTAGCCCCAGGAAGCAGGCTCTCCAGCCTGGACCCCAGCATTCTAGCCCCTATCTGTCCGAAGCTGCCGTGCGCGCCGTCACCGGCGGGAGGCAGTAGAGACCGAGTAAAGGTTGGAGCTCCCCGCCCTGAGCCTGGA